TGTATATAATACTAGGAATCTTTCCAAGATACATCATGTATATAATACAAGGAATCTTCCCAAGATACATCATGTACATAATACTAGGAATCTTCCCAAGCTACATCATGTACATAATTTTAGGAATCTTCCCAAGATACATCATGTAGATAATACTAACAATCTTCCCAAGCTATATCATGTACATAATACTAGGAATCTTCCCAAGATACATCATGTACATAATACTAGGAATCTTCCCAATATACATCAAGAACATAATACTAGGAATCTTCCCAAGCTACATCATGTACATAATACTAGGAATCTTCCCAAGTTACATGATGTACATAATACTAGGAATCTTCCCAAGCTACATCATGTACATAATATTAGAATCTTTCCAAGCTATATCATACATAATACTAGGAATCTTCCCAATATACATCAAGTACATAATACTAGGAATCTTCCCAATATACATCAAGTACATAATACTAGGCATCTTCCCAAGCTACATCATGTACATAATACTAGGAATCTTCCCAAGTTACATGATGTACATAATACCAGGAATCTTCCCAAGATACATCATGTACATAATACTAGGAATCTTCCCAAGCTACATCATGTACATAATACTAGGAATCTTCCCAAGTTACATGATGTACATAATACTTGGAATCTTCCCAAGATACATCATGTACATAATACTAGGAATCTTCCCAAGTTACATGATGTACATAATACTAGGAATCTTCCCAAGATACATCATGTACATAATACTAGGAATCTTCCCAAGATACATCATGTATATAATACTAGGAATCTTTCCAAGATACACCATATACATAATACTAGGAATCTTCCCAAGATACATCAATTACATAATACTAGGAATCTCCCCAAGATACATCATGTACATAATACTAGGAATCTTCCCAAGATACATCATTACATACTTATAATCATGTTAGGAATCTTCCCAAGATACATCATGTACATTACATAGGAATCTTCCCAAGATTCATCAATTACATAATACTAGGAATCTTACCAAGATACATCATGTACATAATACTAGGAATCTTCCCAAGCTACATCATGTACATAATACTAACAATCTTCCCAAGCTACATCATGTACATAATACTTGGAATCTTCCCAAGCTACATCATGTACATAATACTAGGAATCTTCCCTAGCTGAATCGTGTACAAAATACTAGGAATCTTCCCAAGCTGAATCATGTACATAATACTAGGAATCTTCCCAAGCTGAATCATGGACATAATACTAGGAATCTTCCCAAGCTACATCATGTACATAATACTAGGAATCTTCCCAAGATACATCATGTACATAATACTAGGAATCTTCCCAAGCTGAATTATATTCTTAAAGTCTGCTTTCAGCAGAACCCCATTGGAGCAACTAAGAAAAATAATGAAGCAGATTTTATTGATATTTTACGGTAATCTTTCATGATGAAAATGGCGTTAACCCCACCAGGACCCTCCCATAATACTAGACACCATTCCGCTTTGTGTCATGTCAATACTCCAGCAGGACGTGGCAGTGTAGGTTTATATAAAGTACGTACATTCATTGGGCGATGAAGCTCCAAACAAACAGAAAAATTCCCCATTTGGTTAAACATAAAAAGGTCAATGACATCAAACAGGAACTGATTTCAACACATAGTGTGATACGGGGCGTGTTGTCCATGATGTTTGGAAACAGAATATGACATATTCACATACTTTAACATAGACTTACCACTGTCGTAGCCCTACGATCGCTTTGTGGAACGAGGCCCTGCTTTTATTTTAACTAGGCTCTAAATATGGCGGCGAAAAGGACTTAAAAAACCGTTACGTGTATGGTCAATTGGGAAGTGTGAACACAAAACCAAAACATGGCGAATGGAAATTAGACACAACTTCATACAGAATCTAGTCTTGAACAAACAATCAGTGTATCATTGCGCAGTTATGTCGACATAGTTCTCAACCAGTACTGTCCCAAGTAGGCTTTTCCCCTCTCACATCCGTGTGCTGCGCAGAGAATCGAGTATGCAATAATAAATACGGAAACAGCCGTATTTGCTTCTTCCGCCATGTAAGCTCGTCAACAAGTATCTCAAATCTATGGAATCCTGGAAGGGACATTGTCGCGTTGTCGCATTGTCGCGTTGTCGCCCTCTCAAATACAAACAAAATTAAGAGCTGAATGACTGGCAATATGTGGCCTAATCCACCCTGCGTTATCGGTTGCCACCCTGTGTAGGAAAGAGCTGAATGACTGGCAATATGTGACCTGGCCCACCCTGTGTTATTGGTTGCCACCCTGTGTAGGAAAGAGCTGAATGACTGGCAATATGTGACCTGGCCCACCCTGTGTTATTGGTTGCCACCCTGTGTAGGAAAGAGCTGAATGACTGGCAATATGTGACCTGGCCCACCCTGTGTTATTGGTTGCCACCCTGTGTAGGAAAGAGCTGAATGACTATATGTGACCCAATAGGTTAATGCAGTTATCACTAACATCAACATTTCTCGCAGAGTGAAGAGTTTGTAGTGTTTGTCCTGTTAGTAGCAGCAATCAAGATACAGTTTAAGAAGTGGAGTTCCTATGTCATGTTGACAGTAGGCACATCCCAAGTACCATTGCACCTCGACAGTGCAGGTCGCAAATTATATCTGTCTCTCATAAATCTCAAACTTTGAGGTGTTGTCTAGCATCACTTTAGAAGAGAAAGGCACAGTTTATGGCAGAATAGGTAACACCTTGCTTATACAGATCCATACTTATAGTCCGTTTGGCTCAAAAGCGGACCGATGAATTGCAATCTAACTCGAAAACTAATAAACATAAAATACTCAATGAAACGCTGATCATAATCAAAACATCATACCCACTCTGTGAGGTGTTTGCAGGATTTTTGTCCTAAAAATAATAAAGTTGTTTAACAAACTATCATTAAAATATTGACACAGTTCACTATTTGTTACGAGGGAGGAATGCAGACAAAGGGACAGCCAGGTATATAGCAAAATTATAATAGCTCTAAATTTAATTTAAAACCGAACGCGTAGCGTGAGGTTTATATATAAAAATATTTAGACTGTCGTTCGAAACCTTCATTTTATTTAAACTCTATGATAAAAATATAAATTGTTATTATGCACATTACAGTATGAACACATCATACTTGTGATGTAATCTTCAGTAACCCATGCTTGTTGTAAGAGGCGACTAACGGGATCGGGTGTTCTGGCTCGCTGATGTGGTTGACAATTTTTGGCTCAGATCGATGATCATGCTGTTGATCACTGGATTGCCTCGTCCAGACTCAATTATTTACAGACCGCCGCCATATAGCTGGAATATTACTGGGTGCGGCGAAAAACTAAACTCACTCACTCACTCACTCACTCCAAAATAATAACTGCATGCTGATCTACAAGGACACTCACTGTGAAGAGTGATGAAGCTGATACTCCTCAATCCTGCTTCAACAATCAGAAGATGCAGATCTACAGCAATTTTGTAATATATGCGTTTTACAATTTTCTCACTATCTACATCATGTTTACTAACAATTCATGGCCACAGATGAATTGTATTTCCATATATGTACTTGAGTTTCCAAAATCTGATTTAGGCCAATCTAATGAGACATTGTGGAATGTGGCACTCTTACAATATGTAACATAAAGAACATGGTGCTTTACGATATTCTAATTGCACTTGATTTAAACAGAAATGCAAACATAACTTATTATCATAATTATCATTATTCACATACACATTTGTAGTAAGAATAATAGTGGACACGAACATTGCATCCTACATCGTGTACATAATACTAGGAATCTTCCCAAGCTGAATCATATTCTTAAAGTCTGCTTTCAGCAGAACCCCACTGGATCAACTAAGAAAAATAGTAAAGCAGATTTTATTGATATTTTACGGTAATCTTTCATGATAAAAATGGCGTTAACCCCAACAGGACTCTCCCATAATACTAGACACCACTCCGCTTTGTGTCATATCAATACTCCAGCAGGACGTGGCAGTGTAACTTTATATATATACTCTCCAACAGTTCTGTTACACCAATTTTTCAAACATTTTATGAACATGAAACTTACATCAGAAATAGGCGAAAGTAATGAACATATAAGCAATGTTATCACTGAACATGATCACGCTGTTCATATGTTGTTCAAACAGCAAACACGGAATACCATGAAGTCATGCATAAAGGGGGTGCTCATTTCTCAGTAGCGATTATGAACCCCGTTGGCGTTGATAACGGCAGTAGCATATAAGTAATCAGTTCCGGACAGACAATAGCATTCCTAAGGAGAACAATAGCATTCCTAAGGAGAACAATAACATTCCAGGGGAGAACAATAGCATTTTTCAAGGAGCGCTCCTACATACCAAAGGAGCTTTCAGGAGCACATTCCATAAATTCCAGGAGCTGTCCTTTGAACCTTTTCCATGACATCTTTATATAACGAGATCACGCATGCTGATTGGAATGTGCATTGAAATGTAATGAATAGGAACCAGCAAGCAAAGTTGAATAGGATATTGCTATTAAATTTGAAATGAGTTGAATGTTGCTTATGTCTATAAATTCATAGCTGATTCTAACCGCTTTCAATATGTAATATGTTCATTAAGTAGTACATCTTATTTGTTAACATGTGTAAGCATGCATCACTTCTTACGGTATATACCGTCAGAATTCCAAGGTAGAAATGAAGGGTTTTAAGTTTGATTTAACTGTTAGGTGACTTCCAAGATGAAGCGTACAAGAGGAACACACAAATAAGAAGCACATATACTCAAAACGCAGGAGTTGCCATCCCTGAGCAATGTCTGTAAACATATTGTCCAGGTAAGGAAGTTACAAAAGTATTGGTTGACGACACACAGAGTGAAACCTCGCGTAATCTTTCAACTGTTTCAATGTATAATACAAAAAAACCCACAAAATACACGGAAAGGGTTTTAGTAATATTTAATCAGACTAAATTAACCACACAAACACACACACACACACACGCTTACACACACTCCCCCCATACAGTTTAATCCGATTTATCAGCTGTTGTGGCTTGCCTCGCTGCTCATTCCGCTCTCTCATGCTCCCTCAAGAGCTTTCTTGGAGCATGTTTGTTTCAAATATTAACCTATGAAGCTTGCTATATCTGTTTCAGTAGATGTTGGACAGTTGGCCAAAGTAGCATCTCTGAAACAGAATGTTTGCTGTCAACACATGGCTTTAAAGCAATTGTAATGTTTGTATAAAAATGCGTATTTACATTTTTATGATTATTTTACTACCCAAACGTTAGACACTAGCATCAGATAACCAAAGCAGCATATTAAAACATCATCTGAATCTCAATCATACCGAGTAACAAAAACATGGTCCATAAAGAAGCAGCAACAGGTTTACTTGATAAATCTGAGTGGGCTTAGAACAAATGCAGAAATGATTGTAATGTCCTGTAATATAAAATAATAATCTGACCTTTGACTAAACCAGTTGTTTTACTTGGACATGTTTATGTGGTCCCAAGTTCTATCATATTAATAACAGTAGTGTTGTGTATTACTTTAGAAGGAAAACGTTTCACCTCTGATCAGTTTCTACAGTCTTGTTGTAGAAAAGCTTCTCTTGTTTCCAATTCCTTTTACATTGTACTGACCCATGACCAAGGGTTAAAACTCAACAGTTGGTCTGATGCATGTCATTGCCGCCAACCCGTTTCTGTGCTTGAAGCTGCAAAATAATATTAAGATTTATATGCTGTCACTTGGCAACATACATTAACAAATTTTATGCCAGAAGTGCATGCCACCAGTATTTTCGTAACATAAAAATTAAATACAGATCAATCAACCTAAACCATTAATGAAATACAACAGGAATTTATTACCAACCAAATAAAATCAATTTGTCAAATTGTGCAACTGATTTCATCTGGTTAAATTGTATGATACTTTCCAAAGATGCGGGCGTCATTTACAGAGAAATGTTTTACTAACAATATATACTATTTACAAGACTGAAAATTGTGTATTTCTAACAGTTGACCCAAAAATTAGAAATGGTTAGTTGCCTTTTAATGGCTTTATGACACATCTTCATTTCTTGTCTAAAAGTTCTATACGATATTTACTTGTGAGGGGGCTGACATTTGTTGTGAGGAACATGGTCTGGGTGCTGGGAAAGGGACATATTGTTTACGCTATAAAATACATCCGTAACTGGAGTCACGGACTTGAATGTAATATTATCCCCTGAGTTCCTGTACATCGCTGATAAGCAAGAGTGCCTCTGTGACCAGATCTGTGTCGACAGATTGGATACAGGGCAGAGGAAACAGGGAAAATTCCTATATTTGAAAACATGCCTACATTTTGGTCATTTAATAAATGGTAAAATTATAGTTAAGTATATAGTCATAGGAATTCGTACTGTTGCAAACTAAGATTGAACGTTCACAAGGCACGATACAGAATTTGACTGGAATTCTTAAGTGATGATTTATCAGGTTAACTGTGCAATTTGACGTTTTTAGAACAATAATGTGAATACACATACCTCCTCTTAGAAAACTGTAGTCTTGTCACAAGAGTAAAATGAACAGTCTTCTATATCCTGCAGTGTGGCGGAACTTCCTGCCCGCTATGTACAGAGTCCGAGTTTGAATGCAGGAATTCCTGCTCTGACCTGATAAAGTATCTGGGAACATTCCTGAGACTGCTGACACCAAAACAAGAGATAGCAAGTTGTCCACACAGGGAAGGCTGAACTTAAACGCACAGCAGTAAATGGGAGATTATATTTGCAATAAAATGTTGCATTTATCGTAAATAGTATTGTACAAAATCAGTCATTGTAATGAAACACATGACATACTATTCCACTTGACCAAATTTTCACAAAAGTTTTCTAGAACTTATAATTTCTCATAAATATTTATGTTCAGGCGTATTTGCATAACAATTATTTTTCAAATTAATATACATTCCTGCAGTGAACAGAAACATCCTTATCAGGGAAAATTTACCTCAAAATGTTTCAATAATGATTGTAGGACATTGTGATTAGGCTTCAATCAAACTTTAGGAAAACCTCCACCAGTGTTTCAATAACGTTTCTAAAAGGTTGGTGTGTAGAAGTTTGATTTTCTTTTTTGATAACCTTTTAATAATGTTACTCGGAACGTTTTGATAACGTTTCAAAACAAAGCATCACTTGTCGTTGACCTTTGGATGTAGTACAGCTACGTTGCAGCGACGTGGCCATGTGAATGGAAAACCAAACCAGAAAGCGACTTGTCTGCCACGTCCATACAACGTCGCACTGCGACTGCGACATGGCGACCTCAATGTGACCTGACAGCGACGTAGCAAATACGTCGCCGGCCTGCTGGGTTGTACATGTCTGCATATGAATATAATTCTGCAGTATACAAGCAGGTCAAAATTAAGACTATTATCAGCAAGAAATGAAATATCAAATGCTCAATGGATGAGAAATATTACTTATAAGTCAATCAATTCTAACAATTTGTACAAAGTTTCAATTACATACCTTCAACTGAACAACACAGGGTTTGCAGAAACACCGTTTCTGGTCTTGAATTGATAACACTAAATTTTTCACTTTGCTTTTAAGGATAGGTATAGTTTCACACAACTGCTTATCATTCAGCTGAATCACACGCCAGACAGAGATGTGTGCGTTCACCTGTACCTGTGATATTTTTATACCAACATAAAATTAAATCACGTATATCTTCAATGTTTTACCACTTTATTTGGAATGTTTAATGGTAGACGCTATTTAGAAAATGTCACGATTTATATTACACTATATCATGACTTACAATTCCTTTGAATTTTCAGTACACATATTCTATTAAAAATGTCACGATCAAGATTTGCAAACTTTTTTGGTTTGCAGACAAATAAGAAAGTATACCATATGACCTCTTTACACTATTATCTGATTATTGCATTGTATTCTTATAGTTGTGCCACAAAATATTTTATTGATACTTCATCAACTATACAACATTTATATTAAACTGAGGTCAAATTTAGTTTCATGTGTTTTCTGTGGGGGGGTATTTAGTATGTATGTAACTCATTAATAGCAAAGATATGCATGACGTAACAAGTCAGCCAAGTCATGGTTGGGTGTATTGTTCTCATGCACTGATACATTCAGTCATCTCAGCCTTCATTAAAGCAAAACAATGGATAGCATAAAAACGTAGTAGCCATTTCCAAATAGGGAAGTGCTGACACAGAAAGGAATGTGTATTCACGTGTCAACAACCTGTTTGTGAGCTTTTTAGGTAGATAGCAGAATTCAAAGAACAGCATTTTGCAAAAATATGAAATTATCTAAGCTGTAATCGTTTTGTGTTTTCTTCACACGAAAAATTCGAGTTCAACAACACCACCTGGATGTATTGTAGGAATAGTTTCATTGGTAAATACGTTAGGTTGTTCTGTTTATTTGGTCAAAGCTTCTTTAACTTGCTTTCTTGTTACCTCTCGATAGTTATTTAAAGTGCATGAACACTCATAAACACGCAAAGCATGCATGACATCAAGGTTAGACGTGATGACAGATGTTAATACACTAATGCTATATTAAAGGTCACATGCAACGTAAAACACAACTTTGCAGATTCTGATACCTTTCGGTATGGACTTACCGAAACAAATCATCAAAAAATGCAAATTCAACTTATAAAGTTGAAAAATAACGCGATGAAAAAACACGCGCGAAATCGTAGTTCAAACGATTCACTAATTTTCCCCCAGCGCTTGGGGGGAATTCAAGTGGTTTCAACAGCTGGGCTGCGCTCATAGCACGTGCGCAGTGAAATAGGTTCGCGCAGCTTGGAAGCGGGTTGTCCGGTGAATACTCGGTGAAGGCTTTGGTGTGAGCTATTTTTCTAATGTTTTGTTGATATTTCACAGGCGCGAGCTTTTTATATGTTATGACAGTAGATTAACTGTTTATATAATTTCATTTGTCTATTTCACCACACGTTCTTCTTACCGAGTCACTTTCTCAGTTCGATACTTAAAAGCAATGTCATTATTTAGCGTTGACACAATTTCTAACTGTGATATAGATATGTCGTTGTCACAGACAAAACTCAATGTCTGTGTTATTGACACTATGTGTCTGCCTGCCTGTCTGCTAATGACAATATTCAATACACAACTGCGACCACTGACCACATGCAATTTGAACTTAACACCAGTCAGGCTGTACACCATAAACAAAATGCATTGATTTATGGCCCGAGTTCGGTCTCTGTCACATTATGTAATTACACAGACAGGCAGGTGTGATACTTGTACACAGGACATGTTATGATGTCTGTTGATTGCAAATTGTTATGCGCAAAAAATGAGCATGTATTTACAAAACCTAACATCTCTATATATACACACACAATGAACCGTGAGGGCATCTGCAAATGGACCAGCCGTTACACTTGAGTGCACACCCACCCGCTCTGACTTGGTTCGGTACCCCGGCTGCTACGTTTGTAGGGAAGTAAAGCCAAGTACAAAATATTGCACTTTTGATTTGCGATTGTACGCTTATAATTTTGTTTATATGTTTTTTCATAACCAGCAAGGTATGTTATATGTCATGAATAGTGATAATTGTGTTTTAATTATGTTTGATTTTTGCAACCGCCTTAACGCCCCCATGAAACACTCATGCCGCCCCCATGCCACTATAGCAATTAGCGCATGCAGAACAATCATTTACCATCACCCAGCAGTTATCTCCCCTTGCGGATATTTCCAAAATTGGAAATCTCATACTTGTACATATAGCTTCTTTGGAAATAAAATATTGTTTGAGTCAAATTGTTTGAAAAGAAGTACAAACATATGTAAATATGAATGGAAGGTTTAGCCTGGTGAGCCACGCAGATTGGAATGTCAGTTACTGAAATTGAAAATATTCACCCAAACGCAACCGTCAACGTTAAAGTGGGGTCGAAAGTTGGTCATCTCGCCTCAAAGTTGTGTTTTGGCGCTACACTCCAGCGGATCGCAATTTTTCCAATCTAAGATATACTACCCGTCAAAAGCTTAAACTCACTAGTGAAAATTAAGTAAAAATAATTTTACAAAACCCTGCAAGATATCATTACACAGCCAACTTACATGAATTCGATATGGGTCATGTTTCCACAAAACAAGGTCATTTCCGTAATTCTGCAACAATGCTACACTACCATTTGAAGTGAGCTTTTTTGGTTAAAGTAAACAAAAAGGCATTTTGTTTATTCGTTGTGTAAACTTATGACAGCGATTTTTCGACCTTCACATTTTGTTTTAAGTACCTATGATCATTTCTAATCCTAATCAGTAAATAACGGGAATTTCAATACTTATCTCGTGAAGTTAGCATGCCTTTATTAATTTACTAAATTTTCACTAGTGAGTCTAAACTTTGATGGATAGTATATGTGCAAACAAACCGCTTTCTATTGTAGGTTACAGTTGACTTACCTTGATATTTTCCTAAAAAACATCACGACAGTACTCCACCCATACCAACACAATAAGTAATCGCGATGACGCACGTCACGTTTTGCACTCTCATCAAGTCTTTGTATGAATTATTTCAATGACATCAAATTTCTCCCTCACAACTTTGGGGTGTGGAAAGACTCTGGAGTGTGGAAATATCTCACATCTTCACGCGACTTGCACTTTCTTTAAATTTTCAATAAATACACCAATCATCACTTTCAATTTATTTTGAAAAAAAATGTCATGAAACGGAGGGATTTAAACCTTTCGTCATGTATATAAAACCCACGAAAACACTTATCTTAGCATAGCAGCATGAATACTTTAAGGATTACAAGTGGTGGATTGTCGTTCCTGCTTCACGTCACAATTTTTTTGTGCACGTGCATAGTTCTGTGTGAAAATGACATCTTTTCTGATTTTCCCAACAACTAGCGGCTTTGATTACTTACTTGTGGACTCTAACTTAACAATTTCATTTTTGTGATCAGATTAAATCTCGCCTGAAAAACATTTTCATCTATCTTTTAGATGAATTAAAATTGTACGAAAACAGTAATTTTCAGTATTGCGGCCTTCTTTTTTTTAAGAGAATTTCAAACACAATTTGTTTTAGACCGGCAAACTCAGCTTGTGGAAATTACCTTGGGAAATGTTAGTATTGTAATTTCAAAATCTGCAAACTCAAAGTGAACCCAGCACTGATACTAGCCCACAATACTTTGTTTGAAAACAACTCTAATGCACTCTACCCTTTCATCAAGTTTGAAGTCAGAGTCAACAGTATCCCTTTATCACAATTAACACATACCATTGACAATGTCTCAAATCCTATTGCTAATCGATATATTGTAAGATTTGTAGACAGTAGCAGTTTGAATGGGAAATTTGATGGGAATCCATTCAACTTTCAATCAAGCATGATTAAAACGGTCAACCTCTATGTGAATGGAGCGTTCCTGGGAGAGCTAAACCTGCAGACGATGCAGACACGTATCTGAACATGTTTGATAGTGAGGAACTTTGGAGACAAAACAAGGGAAACTTCATTTCAAGAAAAAACTTCATGCATGGCAGCGCTCTCTTTGTTTTCGAACTGGATAAAGTAGGAACTGAATGTCTCAATCTGGTGAAATCGGGAAATGTGAGACTTGAAATTGAATTCAAATCTGCTCTCACCAAAACTTTGAGTTGTGTCATCATGAGTGAAAGAATCTCTATCATAGAAATTGATAAGGCAAGGAATGTGTATATCAAGTAATCATCAACATGAAAGCCTCAGAATTCCAATGTGCCATACAGTGTGATTCAGTCTTACAGAGACATGTCTTGGGAGTGTGTGCTAAAGATAATTTACCCACACTGACACCTTCACTGTTGAAGAAAGGAGTGGGTGTCATTGTGAATACAGACAGCAGACAAAAGAGTGGTCGCCACTGGGTGGCTATGTACTAGTATTTCAAAGGAAATAGAGAAGAACTGTTTGATAGTTTAGCAGAACCAGTTGATGTTGTATTTGATAGTTATCTAAAGTCTTATGTTAGATCTTACTTGTTCAATGGTGAACGGTTACAATCTGTAGATTCAAATGTATGTGGTTTCTATTGTTTGTATTATCTCTTATGTAAATGTAAAACCAATTGGAGTTTTCATCACTTTCTTCATCAATTTGATGTAAGGGACTTTATAAGGAATGACACTTTTGTATCTCAATATATTTGTCACTACTTCAAATACTGTACACCTTCTTGTTTCAGTTGTCAATGCTATTGATGTATGTGAAAAAAAAATAAAAAATAAAAAGTAGTTTAGATCAAATGATGTTTTGTTGTGTATAAGAAAAATATACAAATGCAAATATCATTTGCAAAAATGTCCTGCATAGTAAGAAAGTAGAATAATACTAAACTGAAGTATCTAATGACTGGCATGCTGACGGATAAGACGTCCTTTTTTCAACATGAGGAGAGCTTCTGAGGATATATTTGGCCCTACACCCATGTTCAAAAAGTTTGGCAAGAGGAAGTCAACAAAAACACGTCAGAGAAAAACAATGGGATCGCTGAATAGACAGGTTACATCTAACAAGAAAAACAGAGGGACAACTGTGAAGGGCAAAAAGAAGACTGCACTGAAAATACAACCTGTGTTGAATACCATTATGAAACGGACTAAAGCTGCCTTGAAACGTAACATGGCTCAAAGGTATAAAAATGCTTCAGACCCTCTAATCACACACTTGTGTTACATCACTATGGAGCTTACTACCACCTGTCCAGACTGTGACAAGAGATTTACGCAAAAAGTTAATTTACAAAGACATCAGAAGCATCCTCCTCTTCCTCAGGATAAACAACTTCTTTCTCCTCCTCAGGATAAACATCTTTCTCCGCCTCAGGATAAACAACTTCTTCCTCTCCTCCTCAGTAGGAGCACAAGCAGCACGAA